ATAATGTTCCCACTCCCAGTACAACTCAAATATTTCAAATTTAGCCCAAGCTATGCGTGTTACTCAAGTAAGGGCGTGTGAAAGTTTCTGCAAAAAAATTACTAACTCGGGAACCAGAAAAGCTGGAAGGCCGAAATTTTAGGAATGTTCCCCTGTCCACGTGCAATTTAAAAATTTCAAGTTCAGCTTTCCAGGCACGTAGAGTACCATGCACGGGCATGTAAAATTTTTGGAAGAGAAATTGCCAACTCGGTAACCAGAAAAGCTGGAAGACTGAAATTTTGGAGAAATGTTCCCTGCCCAAGTAAAACATAAATATTTCAAATTCAGCCTTGAGATATGCGTGGTTCTTACGTGCGGGCACTTAAAAGTTTTGGCGAAAAAATTTCTCACTGAACAGCTAGGTTACTTTTAAAGAAGAGCCGTTAAAAGAAAACTGTTCATTCCCTTTATGCAAAACTTATGGTGATTTAAGTTAGTGACCGCAAAAGATATGTGTAAAGCAGCAACTATTCATGCACCTCAAGTCTGGTGCAAACCTGAGTACTTCAAGTCTGGTGCAAAAACATATGATCGCATGGGCCCGCGCGGTGCGTTCCAGCCTGGGTTGATACTTGTGTCAAAAAAACTTGAATATATCAACGCTCCTGTTGTACGTCTCTGTGTGCATTAAGCATGTTTTTGAAATGAATTTAGCAGAAATAACATTTTTAGGTTGCCGAAGACACGGATGCTCACCGATACGTGCAGAGCGGTTTGTGGATGTACTGTCCCGGTGGTGTACCATGCTGGTACATTTTCAGTGATAATTTAATTAATTACTATGAAAAAGTTGACATATGCCGATTTCTGCTGATCGGTGATTGCCGCAAGAAGTTGATACGGACGCCTTACTTCTTTGGTGAGTCAATGAAAATGTTTAGTTTATATTTTTGTATTTTTACACCTAAATGAAAATATGTGTGGCGTATGCTGCATAAATGTTTCATAACAGGTGATCAAGCTCTTCCTCTTCAATCTCATTTCTTGCATTTCTGGTACTTTCCAGGGTGGCATTATGCAGTTTTGGTGCTATTACTGTTCGCCCTTGCGTTTGGTTTCACCGCAGCTGGATCCCTTGCAATCAGCATTTTCCGAGCTAGCAAAGCTCGCCTGCTCACTATTGTCTTCAACATTTTCACATTCTTATCATGTGAGCATTTGCATCTATTTTCATTTTCATCCACTGGCTTAACGAGCATCCTGAAAAAAGTATACACACACACATACACACACACAGAAACGCATACACATACCGCTTTGGGTGTACCTGCTTAAGAAAGTGCTCCATCATTTTTTAGAATTTTACTACCACTGATTGTGAAAGATTTACAGACGTTTTTGAAACAAGCTTTTTTTTTATTTTCTACGCATTTGATTGCATTCCTGGCAAATTCTATTTCTATTTTGACAAATGTTCTGTTTCCTTAGATAAATTTCTCCTTCTCGGGCTAAATTCTCCCACTTTTTTCCCAGTCTTCGGCTCCATTTAAATGGTTTTGATGCCATTTCACTCTAAAACTGAATCATATTTCCGCCACCCTTTAAAACTCCCTTGTATTTTTTACGCATAAAACACCAAAAATCATGGTAATCAGAGGATATTACGTATGAGATATTCCGCTAAATTTGCCTTCTGTAAGCACATGCCAGCACAAAGCAAATATAGCTGGAAACACCCGCATATTGGTCCCGTCAATGCAGAGTATTTCTAGTATAAATGCAAAATGTTGCAGTTTTGTTCCTGTCAGTTGGTTTGGCAGTGTTTGTAATAAATGCCGAAATGCTGGAGTCGCGTTTTCTGATTGGTATCAAAAACACTTTTAAAGTAAGTTTGAAAAGATTTTCAGAACTCTTAATGCCTGACTAGTTAGCTCCTCAATTTCTAAGCCTTTCGAGAAATTGTGCTTCGACCGATTTCTCTCATGTTTTCTCAGAAAAAGAAACACGAAGGGCCTTTTCTATCCATTTCTCTTCCTCGCCGCCTTTTCCTATCATATTCGTTCCTTTTTTCTTCGTGAGTACCTTTGTATGCATTTACATAGTATAATTAATAAAAGAAAAAATTTTAGAAAGAATACGGCTACTCATTTTATCTTGCTGGGCTCGCGTGTATGTTTCTATTGTTCGGTTTGCTGGCCGGCGCAATGGCCACCACTTACCTCTTTTTCACGAAAAACGGGCGCAGCTTCGTGGAAGATGCGCAACTGAAGAGCCGTACCCACGCATCTACATGGAATCCGTTTGCTAGTTTACGGAAACCGAAGGTAACTAATAAATGATTGGAATGAGTAAAAAAAAGCTGTAGATTCTGCCAGAAAATGAAGAAATTCTTGAGATTTATAAATCTTCGTTTTGCTGATATTAATGAAATACGTCTTGTATCTTTTAAATTTTGTTTTTACGGTATGAATAAAAGTTACTCTTTTTTCTAAGCTGTTG